ATGGAATGAAATGCAACTTAGAATGGAATAAAAATGAGAATGGAATGGAATGAGTATTACCATTCTAATGTTTGGTGTGACACGGTGAATAGTTATGGAATGGAACGATTATTACCATTCTATTGTTTGGTTGACTATCATTAAATATGGAATGGAATGATTTTTCTCAAAAATACCCTTTTCATTATTTTTTAATAAAATCAATCTAATTAATATTTTGTCAATACAATTTTATCCAAAAACGGGTTGAATACTTAACTTAAGTAGCTGATGTAAAGGCTAAAATATATATATATATATTTATTTAATGATACATCAATCTCAATAATATATAAAATATATATATATATATTTCTTATAATATATCAATCTCAATAATATATAATATATATATTTTTTAATTATATATATATATATATATATATATATATATATATATATATATAAAATATGGTTGAAGGTCCTATAACTTTTTATCAATGGCAGTTCTGGGTATATTCAGAAGAGGGTGAAGGTGAAAGACCTTTACCACGTCTAATAAAAAAGCTCTAGAAATGTGAAAAATGGAATGTGAAAGATTTTTGGTCTATGCAAAGTATTTTTGCCTTATTGGAATGCGATGAAGGGCTTATTGGGAATATTAGAAAAATATTTAATCTTACTATGGAATGGAATGGTCATTCCATAGGTTTAGTAATGGAATAGATTTTCATTCCTTGGAATGGATTTTCATTCAATTGGAATGGTCATTCCATTCCATTCCTACACACCAAACAAACGAATGGTTGGAATAGGCATTCCATTTCATTCCTGCACACCAAACGTAGCATAAGTTAAATGTGGTGGGATTCTCCACTCACTAGGTGCTTTTGCACTACCTCTCTCACACACACTTGCACGACTAAAGGTGAGTTATACACTTCTCATGAATCTAAGCAAACTTCCAAGATTTAATATCAAGCCTACACTTGTCAACCATCCATGCCAACAAGTGCTCCTATCCCAGGCCAACAAATAGGTGAATCTCCACCCTCCATGTGTCAAGAGATTATGCATCCAAATCTCCTCATCCCAATGCCAACAAGTGGCACCATAAGAATATGACACTTGTCACATTTTTCAAAAATTGCAAAAAGATCCTTTTTGAAAATATCTTCCAAATTAAATTGCAAAATGGTCCTTAAGACGAAAAATAATTACTTTGCATAATTACACTAAAACCCCAAAAGTTTAAGAAAATTACCAAAAGTTATGCATCCATACCATTTGTAAGAAAAGTAAACAATTAGCATGCTTTTTATACAAAAGTAAAAATGTAGATATCATAGAAATTAAATATCATGGATGCATGCAAAGCCGGAATCAAATTCGAGCACAAAAAGTGAGATTATGTAACAAAAAGGGAAATCGGAAAAAGACAAAATAGGGAAAAAGACGAAAATTGGAAAAAAAAAAAAAAAAAAAAGAAAAAAAAAAAGAAAAGAAAAGAAAATTGCCGAAAAAGAAAATAGGGAAAAGACTGAGTCTTTGCATTTGTCTTCCAATTCCACGACTTAGATAACAATTTGGGAGGGAAATGAGGAAGGTAGAGAGGGGGGATTTCAGAAAATATACACCATATCAATGATGAACACTTCGATGAACCACAACTATTGTGTTCTAGCACCGTTCTAATTCCTTCAACGCCCTTCTTCCAATTTGTGTTCCAATTCCTTCAATGCCCTTCTTCCAATTTGTCTTCCAACTCCTTCTTTTCCAATTCCACGACCTAAACAACAATTTGGGAGGGAAATGAGAAGGGCAGAAAGGGGGATTTCATAAAATGTATACACTATATAATACTCCGTATGTATATACACTATATAATATATATACAGAAAGGGGGATTATACACTATATACAGTACATATACACTGTAACAAATGGGAGTAACTTTTTCTGCAATGTTTTTTTTTTTTGACGTGGCCCATTCTGGGCTACACCATTGAACCAACAAGAACAGGTCTCATATTTGACATGAGAGGATTTTTGTCCTAAATTTGGACAAAAATGACTTACTATACGAAGAAATAAGATGAAATTTTTGGAAACACACGTAAGGAGAAATGGAGCCCTGCTTCTATTTGGAAATAAATCAAAATCTGAATATTTTGGGAGAGAAGAAAGGTTGAATGGGCAGGATTTGTAATTTCAAATGGGTTACAAATTCATAAGAGAGGGAAGGAGAATACGTATTTCTCAACAGTATATATATATATATATATATATATATATATATATATATAAATTGTATATAAAACTACAGTAGTGTTCAATTGCTCCCTAATGAGTAGGGAGTAGTATACTGATTTTTATTCATAGCCTTAGAATCTAATTTTACGGTTAATTGAAACAATAGTTATTTAGGTAATTGTTTTTTTTTTTAATTAGCCATTAATTATGAAATGACTATATTTGATACTTTTTTTAAAAAATAATAATAATAATAATAATTTTTTTTTTATCTGATTAAACTTTAACTATGCCCCTTTCCACCACTGTCGGTCTATCACCACCACCCACTTCCTCCCTCGCTACCACGACCACCTCCCCCAACCACATCACAACACTGACACCTCCATGACCACCATACTACCACCCACCACCACCACCACATACACTAATAATTAACTTAGATTATAGTTGTTAATTTGATATTAATTTGTAGATTTGGTAATTTTTAGTTAAAAGTAGCCATCAAATCTGTCTGGGTGGAGGTGGTGTGGTGTAAGTGGTGGTGGTTGTGTAATAGTGGCGGTGGCGGTGTGGTGGTGGTGTGGTGGGGGAGGTGGTTGCAGGGTAGAGGTGACAGTGGCGATGGGGTGAAGGCAGTTCATGGTTAAATATATATATTTTTTCTTTAAAAATATATCTAATATAGTCATTTCATAATTAATGGCTAATTAAAAGAATATTAATTTCCTAAAATAATTATTCTCCCCAGTAGCAGTTCGATTAGTAAGGTTAATGAGTAAAAGTGAGTATAATACTGTCTATTTCCTTAGAGCATTTCCAACCGTTTGTGTATATTTTTTTTGTGTAAATCTGATGTGTCATGATAGATTTACACAAAAAATTTGAACTATTTAATTTGAGCTCCAACGGTTGTTTTATACATTTTGTGTAAAAATATATCTCCCAATAATAACTAACCATGTGTCATGCCAGGACTCATATAACTTTTACAAACCTATTTAATATATGGATGATTTTTTTAATGGAATGAGAAAGAGGGATGAAAAAGGAAATATGTTGATTTAGCAGTGTAAAAAGGTTATGTAAAATACACAACTTTTTTACACAGGGGTGATTTGGCAATATATCTTAAAAGACTACTGGAGATGAAAAAAATTTACACATCATAGGTAACAGTTTATATTTTACACAAAGGGTATTTTAACATACCGCTGGAGATGCTCTTGTTACGTTTAGTGTGCAGGAATGGAATGGAATGCCCATTCTAGCCATTCCTTTGTTTGGTATGCAACTTAAAGAGGGAATGACCATTCCATTGGAATGAAAATCTATTCCACAATTAAACCTATGGAATGACTATTCTATTCCTAAGTAATTTATTTTAAAAAATCAACTTCCCAAACACCCTCATATTCCAAGTCTAAAAACCACTATTACCTTCCACCACAATCATCTATGCCTTTCACCACCACCACCGCTACCACTGCCTTCCACCACCACCAACTTTCACCATTGCCCACCACTTTCCACCACCACCACCGCCACCGCCACCGTCGCTACCGCCACCGTTTGCCGCAACCACCACCGCCGCCTTTCACCATTGCTACTTCCACTACTGTCGTCGCCTTTCACCACTGTTAGCCGCAACCACCATCGCCTTTCACCACTGCTGCCACCTTTCACCACCACCAGCACCACAACCACCGCCTTCCACAACCACCAATGCCGTGTGCAATGAAAAATGCAAGCACGGCTTGGGGAGAGGTTTTTACTTGTTTCATTTAATAAGGAAACCACCGCCGCCACCACCACCTTTCATCACCACCACCGCCTTCCACCATCGCCGCCACCACCACCACCACTACCACTGCCGCCGCCTTCCACCACCACCGGTATCGTTGATTTAATTTAATTTATTTATTACTAAGAGGGATATTTTTGAAAATTCAATTAGAAATTTATTCTATTCTAAATTTTAAATTGGTTCAACCAAACACTAGAATGGTTATTACCATTTCATTCTTACATATTTCATATTTACAACCAAATAATAGAATAAGAATGACCATTTCATTCCATTCCCATTCTTATTTCATTCTTACTTGCATCCCATTTCATTCTTGCACACCAAACGTAACATTAAGGATATAAGTAAAAGTGAGTATAATCCTGTCCATCCTCTTAATTAATAGTGCAACACTGTGCTACCGAAGAGGATCCTATTCCGTATATGGTGTGTATATATATATATATATGGAATGGTTTCCACTCCCCATCATAACATAACTAAAAAAAAAAAAATAAATAAATAACTATATGGTTACCGAATCCATTCTGTTAGAGATTTTTTTTTTTTTTTAAAAAACTATAGAGTAAATCAAAATTGATATTAAATCTTGTAAGAAACATTCTTTAAATAAATAACTATATAGTTAACGAATCCATTCTGTTGAGATTTTTTTTTTTTTAAAAGTATACAATAAATCAAAATTGATATTAAATCTTATAAGAAACATTCTTTAATCTTGAAGGGTAGGCCTTTTGATAATAATGATTAAAAAGGAATTATAAGAACTAATTGTCAGATCTCTAGTCAATTGTGAAGAATTTAGACCGGGCATTATGCCAATTTTCTTGCTGAGGTGGCCAAATATCATTGGGTGTTAGAAAGTCCTAAATCAAGCGTAACCTCAGAGGATCTAAACCCTAAACACACCAACTTTATATATTATTATTTCACCAACCCAATTTCCGATATACGGAAAGGTCGTCGCGATCTTTATACGAAAAGATGATCATCGAATCACATGAATAGTTTGGCTACGACTGAGATTTCAAAGCAGAGAGCCAAAAGCGATCACACCCACTTTCTCTCTCTACAAATTCTTTCATCTCTTTGTAGTGATTCGTCGACTATACACAAAGCTAATCTGGTTCATTGTGTTCAAAAGCTATATCAACAGTCTATCTTTTGCTTCCTTTTTGGAATTCATTGTCTGTGATCGACTATAGACCCTTCAAAATCCAGAGGTTCGAGTTATTAAATTTTTTTTCAGTTGGTTTTGTTTGGCTTTTTCTTTTCTCGGTTGATTTAAGGTTCACTATTCTGATATCTCAGTTGCTTGCTATACAGATCTTTCAGGTTTTAATCCTCTCTGTTGCGATCCCTTTGTGAAAACCCATTTTAAAGCATGATCTCATCTGTGAAGCAATCGACGGTGACTATCAGTGGTTCTAATATTTTCGGGCGAAAGTCGGCAGTGCCGACGGGGAGATTTTCTGTTCTGCCACCACTTACGGTGAAAGGTCTCCGGAGCTCCTCTGTCTCCATCGCGAAACCGTTGTTTGTCTCTTCAATTGAAGGTTTTGGGTCCTTGAAACGACCATCGTCCAGAAATGAAGATGAGAAGAAGTCTTGTCTGATAACATGCAAGGCCTACGAGGCCGATGGATCACAGCCGATCCAACCGGAGACGCGATCTGAAGCAGCGCAGAAGCTCAAGATCAGTGTCTACTTTGCGACATGGTGGGCTTTGAATGTCATCTTTAACATCTACAACAAAAAAGTGTTGAATGCTTTCCCTTTCCCTTGGCTTACATCCACTCTCTCGCTCGCTGCTGGCTCTCTCATAATGTTGATTTCATGGGCCACAAGAATCGCTGAAGCTCCCAAAACTGATCTCGACTTCTGGAAAACCCTATTCCCCGTAAGAAATTTCAATTTATTTATTTATTTATATTTTAAATTTTATGATCTGGGTTTGATATAGTTAGGTTTGGTTTTGTGTGATCTGGGTTTGCTGTGTTATGTTGTTTTTTTAATTTGTATTTTTTGTTGTTTTGGGTTGTGTTAGGTGGCTGTGGCACATACAATCGGGCATGTGGCTGCTACAGTAAGTATGTCGAAAGTGGCTGTGTCATTTACTCATATCATAAAGAGTGCTGAGCCTGCTTTCAGTGTGTTGGTTTCGAGGTTCCTGTTGGGTGAGACTTTTCCTGTGCCGGTTTACTTGTCCCTTGTTCCCATCATTGGTGGTTGCGGCCTTGCTGCCCTTACCGAGCTTAACTTCAACATGACTGGTAATTTTTATGAAGTTATTCTTTGATAGAATCAGGAATTATTTGTCTTTTTCCCCAGTTAATGACGGAATTAATTGGTTTTTTGTTTTCTTTATATTTGAATTATTTGATATTTAATTTATCATATAATCATCTCTTTTACTTTTTTACATAATTAACTTGACAAATCATTGTTTGGTTGCTTCAAACTGCAGGACCAATCAGGATTTTGTATTGAAATAAGAAAAACAAAAAATTTGCTCAAAATTTTGAGCTCATTGTAGCTATTGGCTTGGGCTAAGTTGAGGTGACCTATTCGTTGTTCCGAAATATTAAACAGCGTTTTTCTGAAATTTATCTTGAACCAGAGGGAGGGTTAAAGTTCTGAAATTTTATCTGAGGGAGGGTTAAAGTTCAGTTCACGTTATTCATGACGAAATCCATTTTGTTTTCAATTCCAGTGGTCGAGTGTTGTGCCCAAGTTTTTTCTCTCTTAATTTCTTCAAAGCAGTGATGGGCTTTTTTGTTGCCTAATGTGACTTGTGGATCTGACAGTATGTGATATTTCTGACATTAGAGTAAACTGTTTGAGGTTTGAAAGTAATTATCTTGATTCTTGCTTCGAGGACTTATTTCCATGTGCCTGAAAGTGTTTGGTGGCTGTCCATTTCAGGTTTTATGGGAGCCATGATATCGAACTTGGCTTTTGTATTTCGGAACATATTTTCGAAGAGAGGCATGAAAGGGAAGGCTGTAAGTGGCATGAACTACTATGCATGTCTCTCTATGTTGTCTCTGTTAATTCTCACGCCTTTTGCAATTGCCGTGGAGGGACCACAAATGTGGGCAGTTGGATGGAAAAAAGCCATCTCTCAAATTGGACCAAATTTCATTTGGTAATCACATGACAACTACCAACTCTGATTTATTTGTAATCGTTGGCTGTATTCTTATTTGTCTATATGCCTGGTAAAGCTGTTTTTTTTTTGCACAAGTTAAAAAAATAATTAATGGTAAATGATTTTGCAGGATGAAGAGACATTTGTATGTCCTACTTTGGCTGATATATCAAGGATAATGATGGAAATAAATATGTTAAATTTTATATCCTATAGCAAATTATTAGGCCATTTATAGCTGCAACTTGCGCTAATTTCATTAGATTGAAGATTGGCTGTTTAACTTGTTTATGGATAAATCTTGAATCTCTTTAATTGGACGCACATTATCAGAGTATTGGCATCTTTGTAGGTCATGCTCAGGATAGAGTATACAGCTGCTTAAATTGACCCAGTTAGATGATCACTTCCATTTTACCACTTGTCTTTTAAAATCCCTTTGGAATTAATTTTTTTTGATAAAAAATGACTGCTAACTACGACAGTAAAAGAGTATTATCTGAACAGTGGTTTAAAAATCTGACAAGAAAACATTAAATATATCAAATTCATCAGAGTATAGATTTCAATTAATATTGAAAATGAATGTTTGTGATTATAAAATGACAAATAATGGTCCTTAGATAATATTTTGCAAGATTATGCTTCTAAACAGTTGAATTTAATGTCCTACTACATTTTAGGGCAATTTGTAACAATGTTGTCAACTTTTTAACTAAGAGTAAACTTTTTGGTTACTCCTCATGAACGTCCTTCCCAACCTTTGAAAAAGTTTGTGTATTTTTCATTCCATGTAAAATATTTAGTATTTATTTTCTTTATATCTTGTCTTGACGATTTTTCTTTTGGTGGCTCATATACAAAATAGGTGGGTAGCAGCACAGAGTGTGTTCTATCACCTCTACAATCAGGTGTCATACATGTCTCTGGACGAGATCTCTCCCTTAACGTTTAGCATCGGAAACACCATGAAACGTATATCTGTCATAGTCTCCTCCATCATTATCTTCCGTACTCCTGTTCAGCCCATCAATGCTCTTGGAGCTGCCATCGCTATCCTTGGAACCTTCTTGTATTCCCAGGTACTTGCTCACTTATCTCTTTTTGAACTGACTATAATTGTCCATATCATTGATGGAGGTATGTCCGAAAGCAGCTTACTGACATCCCCACATGATTTCCCTTTTTCATAATAAGATATTATCGTAAGACTTTTCTTTTGTCTAAAATGGCTGATCAGATATATGGATGACATTCATTTGTTGTTTGTATGTTAAAGAACTAAATGGAAAAAGATTGAATAAAGCTCGTCTCTTAACTGTAAGACTAGTAGGTAGCAAATTATACCCATCACCATAGTACAACACACAGTTGTTAAAAGCGCACTTAGGTGCGAAAAAGGCACTGGGCATAGCAAGGCACAGGTCTTGTGCGTGGCTATATCCCAGGTGAGTCGATTTGAAGCAGGCATGCCTACTCTCTAGGTGTAAGAGGTGCTAGTTGAATATGAGTTAAAAGAAAAATGGTTTTTTTTTTCTTTTCCTTTTCTTCTTTTCTTCTCTTGTTTTCTCGTTTTCGGCTTCAATAGGGGCTTCAGCTTCAACAATTGGTCAACTCCGACAAACCAAGTAAGCTCTCATGTCTCTCTCTCTCTTTGCTCTCTTCTTCTTCTCCACCTGAAACCCTACCTCCTCTGCCACAACTCCCCCCCCCCCCCCCCGGCCTTCTTTTTCTTGGGACTTGCTCTGTTTTCTGTGTTTCTCATCTTCTTCCTCCCAAACAAAATCTCCTCTCTAACAAATCCTAATTCTTCATTTTCTCTGTTTTATCGGACCTAATCTGTTCTCCTAATTGTTCCTCTTTTTTTTTTTTTTTGTCCCTTTGTTTTTCTTTCCTGATCTACTCTCTTATAATGGTTCTGCTAAATTATATTTTGTAGGCATAGTATGTTCTGCTATAAACTGGCTGAAATTAAACTGGGTGTTTATACATAAATGTTTTGTGGTTGTAAACTTTTGTTAATATAATTGGTTTTCTTGTAATATTCCCCCAACCCTGCTCCTTGCTTTGCACCTAGGCTCCACCCGTGCCTTGCCTTGCGCCTAGGCTCCAAAAGACCTTGGTGTTTTCGTGTGTCTTGATTATTTTTAACAATTGTGGTAGTGCAGTGCAACAGAAGCAATCATTGTTTTTTATGTTTTAGTTATTTATTAGGTTGTTTCTTTTATTTTGTTTCATGGTACTCTTATTATCACTCTTCTGCCCCCACTTGGGAAAAAACAAAAATAATAAATCACTTCCCACCAAAGCCCAAACAACCCGAGGCATAATTCTGCCTAGTTTTCACGGAACTTGAGATTCTAGTTCCAACAATTTTGTTTGTCTCATATAAGTGGGCAGCAATTTGGTGTAGTTTTCTGGCATTTAAGCACCTCATAACCAAATCGATAATTCTATAATGCGTTACATGGATTCTCCAATATTAGTGAAGTACCCATGTCGGGCACGCATTGTTCGGACATGGGTATGAGTTATTTGTCCGACACTATTGGTTAGATGTGTACCTAAAAAACATGTCTAATAATTCAATTTTAATTATATATTATTATTTCAAAATGATTGAAATGCCTATACTACGTTTTTTTTTTTTTTTTTCCTAAATGAAATTATCGAAGATTTAATGGAGGAATCAGTGAAGGAAAATTTTTCAGTAATTGATGTTGTTTCCTATTATTGAAGATTTGGTGTTACTAGAGGAATCAATGGAAAAAAATCATCCTTGTTTCCTATTTACTAATTCTTACCATTGTCATAATTTCTTCTCCTATATAAAGGAGCCTCAACCATTGTATTGTATATGTGTTGAAAGAGTATTATAAAAGTGATGTGGCTCTTTGGGCACTTTGTATTGTGGATGGTCTTAGTGGTTGAACCACGTAATATATGTGTTCTTGTTTCATTTTTCTTCTCTTTGCTTCCATTTTATGCTTTACAAGAAAATGCCTATATTAAACACTATTATATAAAGACATTATTTTACTCTAGAAAATAAAATAAAAAATATTAAATAAAAAAAATATTTAGTAGTGTCCATGTGTCCTGTTTAGAAATTTGACACATTCGACACATGGATATATACATACCCATACCCGACACACGTACCCAAGTTCATATAACACAGCTGAGTTCTAAAGCTAGTTCATCAAAATTACCGAAATACCATTGGGATGAAAACTTGGGGGCTAATAGATTCCTTCCGCCACATTTACTGGAAAAAGGTATATTCAGGAGAAAAATAAATAGAATTTGCTTCAAAAGTTGGCTCGTTTCAAGTAATGAGCAATTGTAATAGTATTACAACACAATAAAGCATCCATTGCAGTTTGTTTTGCCAGTAACCAATATTTAAAGCTTAAATCTTGTGCCTGAGAAGGTGCGGAGAATTATGACACAGATTAAGCAGTCTTTTACATATAACATGGTATAATGTCTAAAAAGCATTGAAAGACAGCATCCGTCTGGCAATAGTCTTGGGCTGTTTAGGGTGTTTAAATATGCTTATTGGCAGAACTTGTATTGTTGACATCCTTGTGAGGTTTGATCCGCTGATTAATTTGTTGTGACGTTGGTTGGAATGTGTTGCTCATTACTCAAGTTTTTTGAATCATATTCCTATCTTGCTCATTAATTTCATCACAAAAATGTTGAACTGATAAGGTGGTGGAATGTATGATTAGGGAATATGCTTAGCTACGTCCTTATGTATGAGATGTTTCTATTTTACCCGAGATTATCCATAGTACGTTTTATTCTTTTGACAAGTATCTAGATTGACTGATTGCCATATTATTGCACTTTCTCTTTACAGGCAAAACAGTGAGAAATATGGGAATGAGGAATTTAGATATGTTCCGTAGCATAAATTATGGGAGAAATGGCGGTGTAAAGATTTCTTCTTAAGGCGTTGATAATTGCTGCTTTATGGTTACATAACCACCGGAAACGAGTAAGGTGGACAGCAGCTTTTGGTGTTGTAGATAAGATAATAAGTGAGTTTGTTTTAATCTTGATGGATTTTATGGAGGTGGTTAGGGAGTTTTTTCCATTTTTGTTTTTCTAGGTTCCTCATGAGATTGAGGATAGATTTCTTACAATAAACAAGGATAATGTCCGAAGTTTTGTCTGTTTGAAGACCAATAATAGTGCAATGAATTATGAGAGATCCCATTTCAACTATGTTGTGCTTCATATATGTAGAGCTAATCAAGTGTCATTTTTTAGGCATGTGAAAGACTAGAAAGTTACTTTATTTGTTGTCATGGTGTCACTAACCAATTAGACAATGATGTGTAATGTGAAATCCATCTAAATTTCTGATGTATTGAAGTGAATTGCTTCACCGTGTTGATTGGATTAGATTAGCTGTCAGCCTGTTGCTAGTGCTTTCCCTTCGGCTTACTACTCTTACTTAGGCTAATATTGATTAGGGTTGCAAATGAACCGAGCCGAGCTTTGGCTTGTTCGGGCTTAACCGGACTTGGCCTAACCAAGCTCAGGCTCGGCTCAATAGAGATTCGGCAAACTTGGACTCGGATCACATATTTTAGAAATTACTGTGGTCGACCATGAATTTCGATTTCCATTGCCGGCCATAAAGGAATCCGTCTGAACTCCATCTTTGACCAAAATAAATAAATAAATAAAATTTAGAAATAAAGAACAAATCTAAATCAAACTTTCCAAGATTTCATTCCCAAGCTCAAGTAGACAATATCAGCATGCAGTAAGGGGTACACGTACCAATTTTCATCACATTCTCCACCTCATAGAACCATCACATTGTCTATCACCTACTTTTGTTACCTTTTGTGCCTCATTCTTTCGCTCTCTTACTTTGATATTTAAATCTCATTAAAACAAATTAAAATAATAAAGTGGATAATCAAACACTGAAATGCAAGTAGTGTCACATTTTATTAAATTATGCTGATGTGGCGCTCTATTTTTTAAAAAAATAGATAGTTAATGAGGTTAGCGTTATATTCTTAACTTTAGAAATTCAAGGGGTGAGATGTGTTAATTATTAATGGCTGAGATTCAATCTTATTTGAATGATGGGGTAATTAATTATAAGTATTTGGGCCTTATTAATGAAATGGTATGAATTGGGCCAAACTTGTTTGGGTTATAAACTTTTTAAATACAGAATGGTAGAAAATGGGCTAAACATTTTACATGTAGAGTAGTAGTACAAATGGGTCTTTACTTAACGAGCTTGTTTACGAACATAACGAGCCGAACTCAAGGTTGCTCAAGTTCATCTCGTTTACAAAATGAACTTAAAAATTAAGCTCAAGCTCGGTTCATTTACTAAATAAACAAGCCCAATCCAAGTTTTTAACTAGCCAAACCCAAACTTGATAGGTACTAATTTGTAAGTAAACGTAGTTAGATTATTTGCTAGGTCAAGAGAAAAAGAGAAACAAATAAGAGAGTAAGTATGTGATTTCACTGCAAGGACGAGTCGTAAAATACGTCAATCCTTATGAACATCATCATCATTCTTGCCTTGTTCTCGTTCTCCTATCATCATCGTTTGTAAAGAATGGAGTGCATCGCATGTAAATATTATAAAATAATTCCCTGAAAAAGCCTCCCTAACCAACATTTATTTTTTTGTCATAACCAACATTGGGCTACTTATATTTTTGTACAATAAATCCTCGGAGAAAACCTCCCTAACTAACATTGACTATTTATATTGGACTTAGTAAACCGTCTCGGTCTAGTCTTTGGCCCAATGTAACAAATTGTATAAGAATGGTGGCTTAAGGCCATTCGCATCGGGCTCACTGGTTGCCCAATCCAGCCAGCAAATGGCCAAATGCCCCCACAGTGGGCTCGCTTAAATGAAAGCGCTCGCGGGCCTGCTCGTTGGCTACCGTGTAAATTTTTTGTTTTTTGAAAACCCAGCCTCAAAACGATGCTCCAAAGTAAGGGAGCTACTATCAGTGCTTAAGGGCCTATTTGGCTGGACCCTAAACCCCCAAAACTTGTTTTTCACATTTTTTGATCTCTCTCTCTCTCTTTTTTTTTTTTTTTTTTCAAATAGTAAATAAATAATATGGTCCTTAGGCACTGTTTGGCTGACCCCAAACAGTGCCTAAGGACTTTATTCCCCCCCTCCCCCCCCAAAACCAATTTAAACCTACCAATGTAGCCGTTATGACATTGTTTAACTGACACAAACAGTGCCTTAACAGCTATATTTTTTGAAAAAAAAGTAAAAAATAAAATGAAAAAACTTTCAACTCTATAAATACCTCAATTCATTTCTAATCCGAAAAATTACAATTTCATAATAAATATTCTATTAAATAAAAGTTCATGACATCTTCAAAGCATAAAAAAATAAAAAATAAAAACAAAATTTAAACGTCTTCATCACCAGAGCGGTTCCACAAATGTTCATTCAAATCTTTCCTCAATGACGCATTTGCCTCTTTGTTGCGAATTTGGAACTCGTGAGTGTAGATTTGTGCCGCTAAAATCGATGATTGTAAATATAGTTGTTAAAATATAGCGGTTGGTAAAAAAAAAAAAATTTTTAGAGAGTAAAAATCCGGAGAGGTTGTTATAGCCCCAAATCTGGAGAGCGGAAGCTGCCTATGTAGCTCTTGAAAAAGTTAATGTAACTAATTTAGAGCATAAAATTTCGAAGAGGCTTCTTGTGACGGCCCAAGTTTTTTAACCCGGTGCGTCAGTGATGAACCGAAAGATGACCCAATAACGGATCCAAAATGCGGAAGTAAAAGACAAAACAACGGTCTCTAGAGATACTACATGGCTCTAAGACACCACTATGACCCTCAACGAGGTCACGGAACCCAAAGAAATCAAATGCGGAAGCAACGTTTCAAAAACGAACAAGAATGAACCTAGGGGCAAAATCGTCATTTTCAGCTTAATAGTGGGTGCCACCGAGCACACCATTGGAAAGACAACGAAAAATTAATGAATTTAGACTCAAGAATCACTTGATTCGGAGTCCGGATGAAGAAGATATGACTAACGGAAGAAGAAGGGGCAAAACGGTCCAAAAGAGACAACCCATGAACATCTAACCGGTTATGAGACCTTCCTAACCAGTTAGGAGGCCAAAATTCATGAGAAAGACACTGCCCACACTCATCTAACCGGTTACGAAATCCTTCGTAACCGTTTAGATGTGAAGGCGGCAAAATGGGTAGCAACAAACCCTGGCAGCAGGGGTTTTTCCAGGAAAAATGGAAATTTGAGAGTCAAGCTGACATTTTCTGGAAAAACTCAAAGAAGAAACCCCCCTCAAAATCGAGTTTTCTACGTGACTCATGAAAAAAATCGAAAAATACACAATGTGAAATGCCCAAAATGCCCTCCCAAGAAACTGGTCCAGAGGGTCCAAAAAGCTGCTAAATTTAAAAACTGAGAGTTGAACTTCGGATGCGATTTCCGATACCAAGATGGCATTTTTTGGAAAAACACGAAAAAGAATCCCCCCCTAAAATCACATTTTCTAAGTGACCATGTGAAGAACGGAATAAATTTGTCAAGGTAAAATCCCTAAAATGCCCTCACATCAGATTTGCAATTTAAAATGTCAAAAAGTGTCCAAAGGAAGTTCATTTCATGAAATGGTGTGAATTTTGCCCAAGTGAGCATGCACGCAAATGTATGATGATGAAATAGACGTGCTACAATGGCCTACGGCCTCATGGGACGTCATATGCGAAATATGACCCTTCAATGGATGAAATCCCTTAAGTTCCACATACAAACTATAAAGATAAAGTAGCATACATAGCATATATGTGTCCTTGGCCATTGGCCTCATTACATACATATTCTAAGAGTGTCAAAAGGTGCACTTAAGTGCACATTACGTAACTTAGACAATAAGTACAAGTTTTATCAAAGTAAGCAAAGTACGACAAGATATGCTAACATATGCATATTCTATGTCATCAAAAATACTTCAAGAACTCTAATAAGTCTAAGAATGCTGTGCGTCCCACACTAAGGCTTCTTTACCTGCAAAACACCCATTAACTTAGGGGTGAGTAAACAAGTTTACTCGTAGGGAATGTATGGGTTTATCTTTGTACCAAGTTACAATTAAATACCATTTAATTCATGCTATCAAGTGACAATAGAACTTTCAACATAACACAATGAGATGTAATTTCACAAGGTTAACAACATGGAATTTAAATGCGAAATCAAAACAAAGTGGATACTTGGACGTCACGCCGGATCAAACCGACAATGTGATTACTTTAGGGTTACTAGCCCATGGGTAGCCTCCCTATGTGCGCACTAGACTTCTAAAGGGACTTTCCCCCATACTAGAACCATGCCCTAGCCATAGTCATAACAACGACATCCCCAAGTTTCCAAAATCAACATTTTATGCACATTACATATATGTATCAACATAACATATGTATATACAATGTAAAGCCATCAACATGCACAAATCAATTTTGGAAACACAATACATGCCCTAAGTTCTCAACTAAAATGGTATGAAGAATATTGAATAATCATTATGCAATTTGCCACTAATTACAACAATATCATTCAACAACAAGAACATTGCCTCACAAGTATGATGTAAGTTTCAAATCATAATTTGAACAATTAAATAAAACAACTAAATTCCCTAGATTTCACTTCTCATCTAACCATGCTCAATTTAATATATGTTGTAGTACATGTCATGGTTAGTATATAAATCACTTCAAAACTTGATTTAAGTCATAGGAGCATATAAATAAAAATTAATTAAATCAATTCATTAATCCCTCTAGATTTTTAAAACGACTCTAAATGACCTCAAATTAACATATGTTATGAATCAAGCCATGGTCATGTTATTTATCAAGTCTAAAGTGAATTACATTCAAGTTACAATTAATAATTTATTTCTCATTTTAATATAAGACAAACATATAACTTAGATATCACTATAGGAACAAATAAAATCACTTGGAAGATAAATGATAACACCCCCTACCTCACAAGAGGATTGTTCTTCTTAAAACTCAAGGCAACCAAGCTTAAAAATGAAAAACCAAACAAGGGTTTTGTAGAGGGGAGTGGGAGGAACCTAAAGTATTCCAAGTTCAAAGTTCTAAGGTGAGTGAAAGGGCACCAAAAATGAAGTTAAAGCTACTAGTCAAGCTTTTCTCTAATGG